ATTGGAAAAGTCCGGATCCGGCTTTCTACCCTTGAGACGGATAGAATCTACACACATTCTTACCCTCTCATTGTCTTGTCCCCAAATGGGGTGAGGAAGACCGGGGAAATCCAGCTGGCTGTGCGGTTTTCCTCGGCCTCCCTATACAACATGCTTTCGTTGTACGGGAAACCGCTTTTGCCCCCTCTCCACTACCTCCACCCCCTGAGTAGCTATCAGGTCGAGAGCCTGAGGCACCAGGCCACCCACATCATATCGACGAGGATGGCCCGAGCCGAGCCACCGCTCAGAAGGGAAGCGGTGGAGTACATGCTCGACGTGGGGTCGAACATGTGGAGCGTCAGGAAGAGCAAGGCGAACTACCTCCGGATCGCCACGCTCCTGTCGAGCGTGGCGTCCGTCTGGGTCATGTTCGACCGCGTCTGTGCCTGGCACAGTCCTGTCGTCAGCGTGCTGGCCCACGTCTTGTTCTTGATGTTGGTGTGTTTCCCGCGGCTCATTCTGAGTTCGGTTTTCCTGTGCCTCTTCGTCTTCGGGGTGTGCAAGTACAGGGGCAGGCCGAAGCACCCGTCCCAGGCGGACAGGGCCCACACGGACGAGCTGGACGAGGAGTTCGACAACTTCCCCAGCTCGAAGAGCGGGGACGTGTTGAAGATGCGGTACGATCGTCTGAGGAGCATCGCGTCGAGGCTGCAGACGCTGGCGGGCGACGTGGCGACGCAGGGGGAGAGGTTCGGGAGCCTGCTGAGCTGGCGTGATCCTAGGGCCACGATGGTGTTCCTCGTTTTCTGTCTGGTTGCTTGCGTGGTGTTCTACGTGGTACCTTTCAGGGTTTTTGTTGTGGGGGTGGGGTTTCATGTGATGAGGCACCCCAGGTTCAGGGAGAAGAAGATGCCAGGTGTCGTCATCAGCTTCTTCCGGAGGCTGCCCGCCAAATCCGACTCCTTGTTGTGACTCCCTGCAGATTTAATTATTAATGGTTGTTTAAAAAAAAATTATTAATGGTTTTATTTGAGTGCTTATTTTGAGTGTGAACACCTAAAAGCACTTGAGATGCGTTAAAGTTCACCTAAAAATGTTTGTGTTTGAAATGATAACAATTCTAATCTCATGCAGGGTGTTATAAAACTATGTTTTTATGATATTTTTTCTGCAAAATTAATACTCCGTAGTTCATAGTTGCAATTTCTTTTGCCCCCACCATAGCCTCCCTTGCCCCCTTGAATCAACAATTGGCAACAATAACTACTACAATCAGGCAGAGATATCTAGTAGAAGAGATTGACTAGAAAATATCAATTTCACAAATGGTATATGAGGTGCATCATTCGAGCTAGTACTACTAACCATTGTCATTTTTATTTGTGTGGGGGAATCATTTTCTTGTCTAAGAGCGTCCTCAAAAACGCTAAATATAGTTTTGTTTTAAACATAAAACTGAATGGTTAGACTAATAAACACCAAATGACGACGAACAGAGAAATGATAAAATCACAAACTAAATGATTACAAAATTTACAAACATATTATTTGTAAACTTCATTAAAAGCACAAAGTAATTTTAAATAATCTGAAACACAAAATCTATATTCACAAATTTAAGTTTGTGAATTTTATGAGAATTCAATTTGTCACTAACATTTTTCAAACAAAAATGATAATTATGTTACTATTAAGGAAGTCAATAACCATTTTCTCTAATTATTAATTAGTCATTTCCTCTAAAGAACAAGGATGGAACAAACCACTTAATTATATTCGATACACACAGATTCATTCAAGAAACGGGCTATTATGATATATAAACCGCCAACGCAGGCTAAAATTCCAGCATTAAATAATACAATCTTTGTAGGGAAGTGATTCAATCAATCAATCTGTAATAAAGATACAAACTTCAAAGGGAATCAATCTTTTCCTTAGGAGGAGAGACAGAGAGATCAAGAAATGAAATGCCTCAGTAGTATTGCTTCCGAGGATTGTTCTGCGATTTTGAACCCAAAAAAACACAAATTGAAACGAGCGACGAGTTAGTTGTTTCATGTTCTTGGGCTTATAAAAAGTGTTAGGGAGGAATAGTAATTATGAATTAATTACCAGAGGATTAGGGCGGTGACGATAGCCAAGCATCATTCGCTTCTTGTACTGCTCATAAATGTCATCTTCTGGAGTGACTTCTCCAGGGTTGTGAGCACCGACACCGAGGTTGTTCGACTTCACTTCACCTGCAACAATTGGATCTGCAATTCCGCTTCTAGAACTTCCCAGACCTTCACCTGAGTAAGTAAATCAAACAGAGGTTGTGATCATGGATCAATTTTGCCATCAACCAAAAGAAAAGATCAAACCCAAGTTTCCAAGTAGTAAGAGACTAAGAATAAAGTCATCTCGAATCTTGATACAGCACTGTGGTGAACTATTATAAGAATGCATGGATTCAGAGTATATTTCAAGTATCTTAATATTATGTACTCGTTCCTGCACTAAAAACAAGTGTTGTTTCGGGCGAGCGTTTTGCTTCAGAATATGTACTACTCTCTTCTTTAAGACCTATAACTAATGTATTACTCCCTTCTATAAAACCCCTATATTATACTTAAATGTTAGTAAGGGATAATATTGTGAAATTCTTTCTCCATTTAGGGCTGTTCAATAGCACTTAAATTCAATACTGTTTATCTCAATACCATTCCGGGATTCTGTTCAATATTAATATCAATACGCAGTAACAAATTGATATTCTGTTCACTATAAGAAATGGACACCTTTTTCCTTTCACTTCTTGCTTTCCCCATATCAAGCATTAAGGGTAAGCTTGTGTATTTGACACAAAAAAGAGTGGATATAGCCAAATATTATAATAATTATTAGTATTATTATAATATCACATAATATAATTCAGTACTTATGAGTTTTATCTGATGCAGTATTTATAAATTTATTTCATCATCTATAAAATCACTCAATGGTTCTTAAATTAGCTGTGCTTCTTTTGATAGTGGAGTAATAGTTAGTCAACCAAGCGTTCGACGCTGATCACGGGTCATCTGAAAATAGCCGCTCTATGTTTTAGCATAGGGGTCAGGCTGCGTACATCCAACCCCCCCCCCATGGGAGGGAGCCTTTGAGGCACTCATAGTTGTGAATGGCGAATGGCGAGTGGCGGGCGAGAGGTTCTTTTTTATGGCGAGAAGCGTGGCGAGCGGCGGGCGGTCAAATGGCGAACATTATATAAATAAATAAATAAATAAATAAATAAATAAATATAAATAAATATAAATAAATATAAATATATATATATATATATATATATATATATATATATATATATATATATATATATATATATAGTTTAAGTCTAAACTTTTAGTCTTAACTTTGTATCAAACATAATTATCAAAGTAAAACATGAGTTATTGTACTTAAAAAGAAAGCAAGATATGTAATCATAATCCTCATCCGTCAAATCCAAGCCACAAAAAAATAACATTAAGAAAACAAAAATAAAAAGGATTGAGTGACCTGCGAAGTGTGGAGTAGGCTCTGAATCTGCGAAGAAGTGACTCGGCAGAGAGGGAAGAGGATCTGCGCCGGCTGAGGACAACTTCAGGAGGGCAGGTGGCTGAGTCGGCGACGAGAACGGCGAGGAGAATTTGATCGACGGCGAGGGGCAGAGGCAGAGGCGAGTCAGATGAATCGATGAAGTCCTTCGAGGTCAGGTCAGTGGACTTTAAAAAAAAAAGTCAATAAAAACCCTTTGACCGGTCTGGCGTACATAGCGAACGCCTTTCGCCACAGCCCTTGGCGACGATGGCGACGCCTATGGCGAGAATGGCGTAAAACGCCTCGCCAGGCTAGAGGATGGCGTCAGAAGGCCGCCACAGAGCCATAAGCGCCTTTGGCGAGAATGGCGAGCGCCATTCACAACTATGGAGGCACTGGAGTAATGTTGTTGTTCTTGTATCTATAAGTTCACTCAAGTTAAGTTTAGTCCCATATTCAGATAAGCTCTATTCAACGGCCCTATTATAATGTCCTTCTGAAACGACACAGATTGTGAGCTAGAGCATAGAGGGAGTACAAAGTACTGTATCATTAAACTATTTTTTTACTTTTGGTATCGCATACAACATTTCTACGTTAACTTGAATTATGCCATAAACTGCATACATAATATCCAATGCAGTAATGCAGTACTTACCTTCCTTCCATCCCATTTTAGCCAGCAGTTTGTGACCAATATTATCAGCCTGAATTTTGGACCTCTCAGCAAGCTCCTTGGCAGCTTTCTGTGCACCCACATCATTGCAGGCAGCCATGAACTTGGCAAGCTCCTCAGGCGGGATATAATCTCCCATGTGATGCCCTTTCTTGCCCAAAGCCGGGCTTCCTCCTAAGCCATTAACCAACAGATTAGCAACTCCATTAATGAAAGCAATAGGGGTAAGGATCAGAAGAAAACCTTGAAGGGAAGGGGGTGGAGGCATCTCGCCCTTTGATGACTTTGGAGGCCTTGATTTCTCTTCATCTGCAGCCTTCTTCATGTAATATTCCATCATTGCTATTGGATCTGCCGATGATGGTGGTCCTGCAGAAGCTCTGCTGGGAGAATCTGACATGTCATACAAAGCTGATGCAGGAATTTGATAATTCGACTTTTGCTGAATTGACTTCTGAGAGCTGCTACCCGAATTGAGGATAGAAGATCTTGAGCCTCCTGTCCATGTGAAGATGGAATGATGCAATGGTACAAAATCATTTCAAAAAAAAGGTCAATATTAAAAAATTATTGGAATAAAAAACTACATATATATTCTCCATAGCAGACCATATGCCATTTTTTTGGTAGGTTTACTTTTTGGCTTATCGATGTATGAATCAGTTCACCAAATGCTAATTATTGTTACAATGCTGACTGAGTGGGCCGATAATACAAAAAAAGTAGTACAAAAGTTACGTTTTGGCTGAAATTGATACTCCAACCTATATTTTTAAATGTTACTAAATCGGGCCAAACTCGCCCGAAAAGTCACCTTTTACTCAAACATGGCAAACATCCGAGTGATACATAACAAACGTAAATTTATGTAATTCGAGTCTCAACTTATTTAGCAATGATTTCATCCATTTTCATCCGTGGGATTCTACTGGGTTGTGGTTGTTGTTCAACCATTTTCAGCCTTAGGAAACAGGTTCTATATTTGACAAAAAATCAATAGAAGTCAAGAGTTGTATGGTTAGGAAGTTAACTAACCACTTTGTGGAGTTTGAGAGTCTCTGGTTTGTGAAAGAGCCTTTTCCTCTTCAACAAGCCGATATTCATAGTACTTATAGTCAGGACAGCTTTCATCAAATAAGAACCTTGAATTGGAACACTAATTAGACTTTTCAAGCCTTCAAAGAGAACATCATAAAGATTACGAAACAAAAAAATGTTTTTAACAAAGATAAAGTGCATAGATGGCGGTAATTGGAGCTCATAATACAACCCATGCTTGATCTAGCAATGCAAACTATAAAATGTGATTGCAGTTTTAATAAGTAATGATTTGCTATATTGTTTTATATCATTTCTAACTCATTAGATAATTGATCAAATATCAACATCTATAAATTTTATCCGAACGAACAATTACCCTTTTGCTTCTTAAATTAAGTTGTGCACTTGAGCTCCATTACTTATATTTGTTATAACCATCTCCATTACAGTTAGTTCAGTTCAATACATATCACCTATTCCCACACAACTTTAGATCATTTCAGTTTGATTCAATTAATGCATTTCACATAAACTAAGCACACTAGTAGTCACCCATTAAATTGATTTTTGTAACAATAGAAATGTACACTATAATATTTATTTGGTGCAATTTATATACTATATATAAAGATGCTTGGTTATGGATTATTTAAGTCGATTGAAAATAATATTATATTTACAAACTGCATCCACCCCAGAGGATAAAGTTACTAATATACCAGCAATAAACAAAATGCCGGGGAGTGGATTGTTGAAAATCCATGCATTCTGCTTACAACACAAGGAGGAATATAAAAGCAAAGATCACTAAGGGAGATTCATGCAATCAAAAATAATAATACTCCATTATAATAATAATAGTAATAATAATAATAACAACA